TCTCACTCATAAGTAGAAGATAAAAACAACAACAAACACACACATAGAGACAGAGATTGGATTGGTGGTTACCAGAGGGGAAGTGGGAAGGGAGGAGGGTGAAAGGGATGATTAGGCACATGTGTGTGGTGATGGACTGTAATTAGTATTTGGGTGGTGAACATGATGTAATCTATGCAGAAATATAAGTATAATGATGTACACCTGAAATTTATACAATGTTACAAACCAATGTTACCGCAATAAAAGAAAAAAGAAATAAAAAGGATGATTATAAGGGAATCCTATGAACAACTGTAAGCCAACAAATTAGATAACTTACATTGTAATGGACACATTTCTAGAAACATAAACTACTGAAACTGACTAAAAAAGAAATGAAAAATCTGAATAGACAACAAAAAAGAAAGAAGCAAAAAATTTATACTTTGAAATCTACAAACATGGTTGGAGGAAATTAAAGACCTAAATAAATGGAAAAATATCCCACGTTCATGGGTTAGAAGACTTAATATTGTTAAGATCATAATACTTTCCAAACTAATGTAAAGATTCAGTGCATATACCTATCAAAATCCTAGCTGGCTTTTTTGCAGAATTGACAAATTGATCCTAACATTCATATGGAAATTCAAGGGACCCAGAATAGGTAAAACAATCTTGAAAAAGAAGAACAAAGTTGGAATACTAACACATCCTTATTTCAAAATTTACTGCAAAGCTACAATAATCAAAACAGTACAGTATTGCCATAGGGATGGACACAGACATCAATGGAATAGAATTGAGGTTCTAGAAATCAACCTTCTCATTTATGGTCAATTGATTTTCAATAAGAGTGCCAAGATAATTCAGTGGGAAAAAGTAGTCTTCAACAAATGGTCCTGGGACAACTCGATATTAAAATGCAAAAGAATAAAGTTGGACCCTATCTCATACCATACAGAAAAATTAACTCAAAATGGATCACAGACCTAAACATAAGAACTAAAAATATAAAATTCTTAGAAGAAAACATAGGAGTGAAACTTCATGACCTTGGATCAGGCAATGGTTTTAGACATGACACCAAAAGCACAAGCAACAACAATAACAAAATAAATAAAATGGGCAACATTAAAATTAAAAATGTTTGTGCTTCAAAGGGCACTAGCAAGAAAGGGAAAAGATAGACCATATAATGGGAGGGAATAATTGCAAATTGCATCTGATAAGAGTCTAGTAGCAAGAATATATAAAGAACCACTAGAACTCAATAATAAAAAAACAAATAACCCTATTAAAAATGGGCAAAAAATCTGAATAGAAATTTTCCAAAGAAGATATATAAATAACAAATAAGCACATGAAAAGATGCTTAACATCTTTTGTCATTAGTCATGACATCATTAGTCATTAGGGAAATGCAAATCAAAACTACAATGAGATAGCACTTCATATTCACTAGAATGGCCATAATCCAAAGGACATAACAGCAAGTGGTGGCAAGGAGGTAGAGAAGTGGACCTCTCATCCAGTGCTAGCAGGAATATAAAATGGTGCAGCTGCTTTGGAAAACAGTCTGGGAGTTTCTGAAATGATTAAACACAGAGTTACCATGTGACCCAGCAATTCCACTCCTAGGTATATACTCAAGAGAAATGAAAACACATATCCACACAAAATTCATACATGAATGTTCATCACAGTATTATTCATAATAGCTGAAAATTGGAAAAACGCAATATCTATCAATAGATGAATGGATAAAGAAAATGTGGTACATTCATACAATGGAATATTATTCAACCATAAAAAGGAATGAAGTACTGATCCAAGCTACAGCATGGAGAACCCAGAAAACATTATTGAAAAATTATAAAAAGAGTCAGTCAGAAAAGACTATAAATCATATGATGACATTTATATGAAATATCCAGAATGGACAAATCTATAGAGATAGAAAGTAGATTAGTGCTTGCCTAGGACTGGTGGTAGGAATGGGGAGTGACTGCAGATGGGTAAGAGGTTTCTTTTTAGAGTGATGAAAATGTTCTAAAATTAGATTGTGTTGATAGTTGCACAACTCTGTAAATATCCTAAAAACCATTAAATTGTATACTTTAAATGGGTGCATTGTAAGGTATGTGAATTATACCTCAATAAGTCTGTAAAATATAATCTAGGACGGGGTCAGGATACTTTTCTGTAAAAGGCCAGACAGTAAATATTTTAGGCTTTGGCAGCCACATAAATTCTCTTTCACATATTTTTATTTATTTTTGTTTACAACCTTTTACAAATGTAAAACCATTCTCAGCTCTCAGGCTGTAGAAATCAGGCCATGGGCCTGATTTTGCTCATTAGCGGTAGTTTATCCACCCCTGTTCTAGGAAAAAGATGTGGTTCCTTGATAATTTATAATTACTATATTTTTTTAAAGCATTCCTCACTTCCCCCAACTCATACTCAAGAGAGTAGAGACAATGTTGTTAGGACTACACAGTCTATATTCCTTCATCATCTACTTATATGGAAATACTCCAATTTATAAGGATTTAGAGAACAAGGAACAGATAGAATTCAACAAGTCTTCATTAGAGAGACAGAGTACCATGGTCTAATTCATAGGGACCAGACTTAGATGGTGAAAGACAGAAGTGCATCTTTAATCATCTAAATAGATATCCTTTCAAAAGCAAAGATTATAGAAGGAAACATAAGGGTGTGCAAGAAAAAGAACACAGGAAAAAAAGGAACAGTTGTTAGAAACAAACAAAATAATTAACGATTGTACTTAAGAGTTTGTGACATTTCCCTCACTTCAATTTGATCGCTATTTACTGAGATATGAAATTTAACAAAGTCAGGACTACCAACTTAAAAAGAAAAACTTTTAAAAAGTAAAAAGCACTACGCAAAAGCAAGATGTTGTTACTATTTTTTAGTAAAGCAAAAGACCCAACTGAGAATAAAATTACATTTACCTTTTACTTGTTAAGAAGCAAGATGGTTGTTTTTGGTTTTGCTCTGGGGCACATAGATTCTTTTCTCATCTTCTTTTACAATGGAAAGATTTCTAAAATGAGGCCCCTTTACTCCTCAAGGACTAGGACTTTGTCTTCTTGATCCCCAGTACCTAGCAGAGTGCTTGGTACTCAAATGTTTGTTGAACTCAACAAGGGAATAGAAAGAAGGGAAATATGTTGGTAGAGATCTGGTGAAAGTTTGTTCCAGATCTGAAGGATCATATGAAAGAAGAGATTAACAGAAGGAAGAAAATAAACAGCAAGAAGAATTTTATACCAATTGGAAAGAAAAGAAGCTGGCAAGTATGGGAAATTGGGAAGTTTTCTACGTCTAGAGAAGAGGAAAATAGCAGAGAGATTTAGATCTTAAAATCATGCAAAGAATGTTAGTGGTCTAATTTGGAGACAATTTTCTTTGCTTGAAAGAAGGAAGGTAAAGAACTAAAGACAAACCAATACTCTGGTGTATGGGAGACTGAGATGTTGATGTTGGTATCTTCTAAAAGGGGTAAGGTTTAAGAAGCTGAGAGGGGAATTGAGGCAAAGGTAGGAATTCTGTCTTCTTGTTATTAAAATTGAGTTAATCATAAAATATTTAAGGATGTGGGCCAAAGAAAGCAAATGCAATTGAGCAAAGAAAAACAAGCCAAGTAAATAATTTCAGACGGCTATCAAAGCTGTGGAAGTAGGTGAGTTCTTCCTTAGAAAATGTGTGAAAGGAAATAAAATTAGAGAAAACACTTCTATGGACTACATATGATCATAGGGAGATGATGGAGATAAAGAATATTTAAAAACAGATTCAGAAAGAGTGATTCATGGGCAGGGGCATTTTAAAAGAAGAGATATTTAATCTTTTTAAAAGAAGAGGCCAAGCCAAATGTGACATTTCCTTAGGATGGAATTAGCCATTACAAACCTTTGAAATCAAGATGTTGCTGGAATGGAGGGAAAGGATTCTCTAAAGAGAATCAAAAAGAACTGCATCGGGGAAAGCAAACATACCAAATAGCATAGTGAACTCTCGTGTTTTCTTTGAAGGTTGCACATTACCTGTTGAAAAGTTGTTGAAGCTTTCCTCCCTTGCTCTAGATCAACTGCAGCTGCCATAAGTAAACATGTTTTCTGTGCAATCAGAATGACTTGATCAGAAGGACAAAACTGGGACAGCTGATAAGAAATAACCAAAACATCAATGAATAGTGAGAATTCTGCCAGGTGAGCACAAACAATCAGAATGAAAATCAGCAACATCCTGCCTGAATGAGAAAATTCAGCTGGAAAAGCACATCTCACCTTAAAAATGATATAGACTATAACATTGATTTGTGGTTTTAATTTTATATTACTTTCCATTGTTTTTTAGCACCTTTCTAGAGATAAAAAGCTTCATTTCTTCACAAGTTTCCTATCTTTCCCAGCGACAAGTACTGTCATTTGGCCCTGTATTTCTATCTGGTGATTTACTTCTTGGTTCATGTTGTAATTTCTAAGTGATTTTTCCTTAGCAAATAGATTTCCTTTTTGCATTGAATACAGCCGAAATTAGTACATATATTGTCATGGTTGAAAGAGAGAATGTCAAATTTTGACAGACATTAGACATAACCTCATCATTAAATCTTGTCTTCTAACTTTAGAAAAAAACTCCAAGCTTTGTACTACAATAAAACTCTAGGCCACTTGGGATTCTTACATGGACATTTGACACAAATGTCAAAACTAAAACTAATTTATTTCACCTAATTAAAATGTGAAATATTTCACCTACCTAAACTGTCAAAAACTATTTCTTAATCTCCCAAAATGTTTACTGATCATAATCATCACCATCATTGAATTAATAGCATTTGAAGACACCCAATCTCTCTAGGTCTCGGGTTATTTATATATAAGATGAGGGAGCTGTGTCAGATTGTCTCTTTAGTTCTTTTCAATTCTAAAACTCTTAACATTTAATCTATCTCAACATATCCTACTGTGTACTCCTGAATGTGTTTGAGGGATATTCTTTAACCACTCTCCTTTTATTCTCTTATCAATACTTGTTCTCTTTCTGGCATTTAACCTCTACCTTGGAAGCTGATGACTATTTAAAAATGCTTATAATTGCAAAATAAGCTCACAAATCCTTACACACAGAACCTGCTCAAGGAAAAATATAAAGCAGGCAGAAGATTCTTAGCATCATTTTCACCCCTTGTTGTCCCAGATACCTATTCTATATTCCTATTGACTTATACCCATAACCCTTCCTAATGTTTTGGTAATTGACAAGTTCTTAGAGTATTCTCCTCCTAAAGATAGTTATAGCCAGCCCTGGTGGTCTAGTGGTCGAGATTCGGCACTCTCTTTGCTATGGGCCAGGTTTGTTTCCTGGTCAGGAAACCACACTGCCCATCCGTCAGTTGTTATACTATGGTGGCTATGTGTTGCTGTGATGCTCAGAGCTATGCCACCAGTATTTCAAATACTGGCAGGGTCACCCATGGTGGACAGGTTTCAGTGGAGCTTCCAGACGGAGACAGACTAGGAAGAGGGACCTGGCCACCCACTTCCAAATATATTGGCCATGAAAACCCTGTGAATGGCAGCGGAGCATTGTCTGATATAGTGCCAGAAGGTGAGAGGATGGCACAAAAAGACAGAGCAGGGTTCTGCTCTGCTGTACACAGGCTCGCTAGGAGTTGGAATTGACTCGATGGCACTGATGACAAAGATAGTTATATTTTAATATAGGACTCTGGGAGACTGAAATTCCTTCAAAGGCAAAAGCATAAGTTTTTTATGGTAGAACTTTAGGCTTCATGATGGTTGTTTGTCATATTTTGGTATGGGGAGACCTGCCTCATGCTTTCACATTATACCTTATAGGGATCAAATTCTCCTTAGGTCATTCCTGCTTAGACATATATTAAAAGTTCCTAGATTAAAAGCTAATCCCATTCTATACTTAGCCCATGACCATAGCCATCATGGTCATAACCTTGCTGTGGTCCATACATGAGATATTTATTAGAAGATACTTACCTTATAAGAAAGCATGAAAAACTCTCTCATTGTAACTGGGTCTTTGTCACATTGCACAGCCAAGTTCCAAGCTGAAATAATATAATTATAATTATGAAAATATACTATTTAATCTGTACTATTATAATCTCTCATTTCTATAGAAAGGGAAGAAAACTAATATTTATTGAGTACCTGCTATGTCCCAGGTACATACACTGTTTCATTTAAAACCCTTAATAATCCTATGAAGTATGTATAATTATTCCCATTTTATAAATAATGAAACCGAGATTAAGCAAGTTATCCTTGTACCCATAGCTACAAATCAAAGATCCAGAATTTGAATCCACATCTGTCTGATTCTATCACCCCACAATGTTTCCCATAGCCACAGAATTTCCTTTTACCTATTTTTCGAAACCAATGAGCTTCATTAGTCCTTGAGGCTGAAGTTGAGGCTTCTCCATCAAAAGAATGAGCAAGTTTCAGAAGTGCTGCATCAAACAGTAAAAGTCTTTTATTTCATACTTTAGCAAAGTTGTTAATTCTACTTTAAAAACAGTCAAACATGAGTTTGAATTTAGAAAGTTCTTTTTTTTGTGTTTGCGCACGAGTGCATACCAAAAGTAATTAAAATGACAAAAAGCATTACCAAGCTCCAAGAAGTGCTTAACTCAAACTTTGGGGAACAAACACGTCTTTGGAGAGATTTATAGTTTTAATTAGAGCAATCATTCACCACCCAAGGTAGAAAGATATGATTTATGTGTAAGGAAATAAAGAATAGGAACAATCATTAAAAAGACTTAAATGGAGATTGAGAATTGGAAAAGTATCTATCTATAGGATGGGATAATATTTACTGAGCTCCTACAGCAAGCACAGTACAGAACCAGAACGTGCCGTCATCATCAGAAAGCATATATCACATACCCACATGCCTCTCTGAGAGAAAAGAATGTCAACCAGCAAAGTTTTTCCCTTTTGCAAAGCTTTGGTTTCTAAACCACTTTGCTACATTTAACACCTTGTTGACAGGTATTTGAGGTATAAAATTGGACTACTGCAATAAATGGAATAGAATTTCTGGGGGCTGGCCCGGTGGCGGTGGCGTAGTGGTTAAGTGCACACGCTCCGCTTCATTGGCCAGGGGTTCACGGGTTCAGATCCCAGGCGTGGACCTACACACTGCACATTAAGCCATGCTGTGGTGGCTTCCAATTTACAAAGTAGAGGAAGATTGGCACAGATGTTAGCTCAGGGCCAATCCGCCTTACCAAAAAAAAAAAAAGAAAAAAGAATTTCTAAGATATGGACTTTTTGGTGTATTTTGGACATAAGGAAACAGGTACATGGACAGTGGAAATTGGAAGACCTGTTAGGCAAAAGGGACACCACGTAAGAAAACATGGAGTTGGAAAAAGGAATGCAATGTAGCTAGGAGGTTAGCTTGAATGAAGTGGACAGGGAGGAATTATTAGTAGATAGGGGAGATGACCCAGACTTGGGTAGATAGGTGGACAGCTTCAAAATAACAGAGTAAACAATCTGAATTTGATTCAGAGGACATGAAAATTAGCAGGGTTCAGAATATTTTTATTTGTCTTGATCCTTTTTCATCTGTTCAATTACTAGGTTAGGACCACGCGGCAAGAAGGAAGGAAGGAAGGAAGGGAGGGGAGAAATGTCTTTAAAACAAATTAGAATAAAAACAGAGCTGAAATCACATTTGGAGATGAGTGCTGGTAATGACAAACTCTTCCCTGCCTGTGAATAAAGAAACCAAGGTAGACTGCTGTGGCACATGTTAATAAAAGCATGAAGCTTAACTCAAACACAAAGTTTGAGTTAATGTGCTCAAGGTACTTGAAGGATTTAATAGAGCATAGAGGCAAGATGAAGGACTGAAAATAACCAAGGAGATAGTTACCTATATTCAAGCAAGTCAGGAGTCTATCCATTTCTTTCTTTCTAAAAAATAAAGAAAAGAGTGTTTTCCTACTGTTCCAAAGTTTTACTACAGAGAAGTACCAAAAGGAGACCCTATTTGTGCCTGAGAGCTGTGCAAAGAAAATGCAAGTTGTGAAGTTTGTTGTTCAAGGCCCCAACCTATCATTTCAACACCATTTTCCCCCGCTATAGGATACTATTCCTCATCCCTAGTGCCCTCAGATTTTTTCTCTCTTGTCCTTCTACACCTACTCTCAACAAAGGATTTCAATGACTGATAAGGTTTTTTATTACAGGGTCACAGAATTTGAGAGCAGGTAGTAATCTCTGTAATTTTCAAGCTTTTTTTTTTGAAGAGGGAGAATTGGAACCCTCATTTCAAATAAAATTATATATAAGTCTAATATACAAGAAAAGGTAAAAATGTAGCTGCTCTGGTTGAACCAGTGGTAGGCGAAGGCCTAGAGCCACAGAATTTCCAGCGTTCTGAGGAGTATAGTTTAAAAACCACTTATCCAGCCCAGACCCTTCATTTTACAGGTGAGGAAGCAGATCTGCAAATGGGGGATAATTTGTCCAATGTCAGGCAATTAATGACAATGTCAAGACTACTACTCAGGTCTCTTGACCCTTTGTCAAGCTTCTTTAAGGAGTAATATAAATTTTAACAGAGGAAAACATCCCATTTTGCTTAAACAAGGAATGAATATGGAAATACTGGCAAACTCAAGTAAGGAAGTTTACAGGAAGTAGGGTAGAGCATACTATAAGACTGACCTTATCAGGAGGAGGTCTAGTATTATATAATAAAGACTGTGCTTCAGAAAAAGTAGCAGCTTTCTCAGGGATAAATATTAGAAGTCTGATTTATATAAAGTAACTTCTTACAGTAAATTTTATTAATTTGAATTTCAACTTAGCTAATGTTGACTTCTTCACTATTTAATTCAATGACTATATACAGTCATATGCCATGTAATGACGTTTTGGTCGATGACAGACTGCATATACAATGGTGGTCCCATAAGATTAGTACCATATAACCTAGATGTGTAGTAGGCTATATCATCTAGGTTTGTGTAAGTACACTCTATGATGTTTGCACAATGACAAAATCACCTAATGACACATTTCTCAGAACATAGCCCTGTCATTAAGCGATGTATGGGGGCCTGGCACTCTTCTTCTAAGTGTTTTACACATATTTACTCATCAAGTCATCACAGCAACCCCATAATGTAGGTACTATTATTATTCCCTTTTTACAGATGGGGAAACAGAAGCCCAAGTTACACATCTAATAAGTGGCAGAGCCAGGATATGAACCCAGGAAGAGTGGCCCCAGAGCCTATATTGATCTTACCCGCTATACTATACATCTCTCGATATAAGGTTTATATTGAAATTTACTATAATCTTTATAATGGTGTATACATCATTTCTACTGAAATAACTTACTTGTTTTCAGATTCTGGCATTTGAGAAACTTTTGGAAGAATAAGACGAAACAAACACCTGTATGATAAAGTAATATAAAAAGTGATACTTAGGAAAAAACATGTAAAAGAATATATTCCAAGTTATTAACCTTGATTACCCCAGGAGGCAGAAGTGAGAAAAGAGAGGGTAAGGAGGAGATTAACTTTATTTTATTTGTAGATATTTGTATTGTTTTCATGGTTGCAATGAAAATATACCAATTTTGTAATTTTGGAAGTGTAATTTAATAAAATAATTTTAAAACAAAAGTGTTGCTTATGACAAATTCTTAAATAGTTCCACAGTTTATACCATTGCCCCAAATCACCTCCTATAACATCAGGTATGCTGTACAAGTCTTTATATTTTTCTCTTTATAAAGGAACCTGGAACTACCTTTTCGGTTCCACATAAACTAGGATGACTATTCTTTGAAAGGCTCTGGCAGTATAATGACAAATTGACAAAGTAAGGTAATTTGTAAAGTTTCAAACCCTAAAAATCTTTAAAAAAATACCATCTATCCTGAATGATTTTAGATATTTATCTGACTGAAGGTATGCAAGTATCTCAAGACTCCTTCTGATACTTTTATTTCTGTGACCCTATTTCCCTTCGGAAGTGTGACCTCAAGTGTAGTTGACCAACAGGAGAACCACTATGGAACCCTTCTGGTTTCCAATTTTTCCCACTGGCATATTCTCAGTCACATCATTAGGAGTCATTGTGTCCTAACCTCACCCTCCTCTGCCTCACTGTTGAATATAAAAGTTACCTTTTGATAAACCATTTTCCTTCAAAGAAAAAGAGAAGGGGGAAGATCAGGTTCAACTGATATCTTTCTTTACTTTAAGCATCCCTATCAAATTTCCAATGGCATTTTTCACAGAAATAGAAAGAAAATCCTAAAATTCGTATGGAACCACAAAAGACCCCAAATAGCCAAAGTAATCTAGAGAAAGAAAAACAAAGCTGTAGGCATCACACTTCCTGATTTCAAATTATAATACAAAGCTATAGTAATCAAAACAGCATGGTATTGGCATAAAAGTAGTTACAGAGACCAATGCAATAGAATAGAGAGCCCAGAAATAAACCCATGTATATATGGCCAACTAATCCTTGACAAGGGAGCCAATTATACTCAACGGGGGAAAGATAGTCTTTTCAATAAATGGTGCTGGGAAAACTGTGTATTCACATGCAAAAGAACGAAATTGGACCCCTATCTTACACCACTCATAAAAATTAACTTGAAATGGATTAAAGACTTAAATGTAAGACCTGAAACCATAAAAATCCTAGAAGAAAACACAGGGAAAAAGCTCCTTGACAATGATTTTTTGGACATGACACCCAAAGCACAAACAAGCAAAGCAAAAATAAAACAATGGGACCACATCAAACCAAAAACCTTCTGCGCAGCAAAGGAAACTATCAACAAAATGAAAAGGCAATCTATACAATGGGAGAAAATATTTGCAAACCATATATCTGATAAGGGGTTAATATCCAAAATATATAAGGAACTCATACACCTCAACAGCAAAAAAAAAAAAAAACAATCTGATTAAAAAATGGGCAGAGAACTTGAATAGACATTTTTCCAAAGAAAACATACAAATGGTCAACAAATACATGAAAAGATGCTCCACATCACTAATCATCAGGGAAATGCAAATCAAAACCACAAAGAGCTATCACTTCACACCTGGTAGAATGGTGATTATCAAAAAGACAAGAGATAAGTGTTGGTGAGGATGTGGAGAAAAGGGAACCCTTGTGCACTGTTGGTGGGAATATTGGTGCAGCCACCATGGAAAAAGGTATAGAGGTTTCTCAAAAATTAAAAATAGAACTACCATATGATCCAGCAATCTCACTTCTGGGTATATATCTAAAAGAAAGGAAACCACTATCTCAAAGAGATATCTGAACCCCCATATTCCTTGCAGCATTATTCATAATAGCCAAGACATGGAAACAACCTAAGCATCTATCGATGTGTGAGTGGGTAAAAAATTGCGGTATGTATACACACACACACACACACACAATGGAATATTATTCAGACATATAAAAGAAGGAAATCTCGCCTTTTGCGACAACATGGGTGGAACTTGAGGGCATTGTGCTAAGTGAAATAAGTCAGACATAGAAAGACAAATACTGCATTATCTCACCTAAATATGGAATCTTAAAAAAAAGCCAAATTCATAGAAACAGAGTAGAATATTGGTTGTCAGGGGCCAAGAGTGGAAGGAATGGGGAGATGTTGGTCAAAGAGTATAAACTTCCAGTTATAAGATGAATAAGTTCTGGAGATCTAATGTACAGCATGGTAACTATAGTTAACAACACTGTATTATGTACTTGAAAGTTGCTAAGAGAGTAAATCTTAAAAGTTCTCACCACACACAAAAAAACTTGTAATTTTGTGAGGTGATGGATGTGTTAACTAACCTTATTGTGCTAACAATTTTGCAATATATATGTGTATCAAATCATCAATCATCAGGTTGTAAACCTTAAACTTACATAATGTTATTCATCAATTTTATCTCAATAAAGCTGGAAAAAAAACCCAGTTGGTATAGTAGGCATTGACTCAGCCTGATCCCATCAGCACTGTTTTGGCAAAGTTAATAGACCAAGAGTAAGATGAACAGAGGAAATCCTTTCACATCCACAGGGTGTGGATTACTTACCTTAAAGCTGTAAGAACTTGTTGTGGGTCTTCCGAATATTGAGCTAAATATTCCAAAGCTTTTCCTGCCACAATTTGCTGTCCATTCTAAAAAGAACAAATATAATATGTTAAATTACATCTCAAAGTGATACTTACAAAGTGTTATCTATATTCCTGTCCATTAAGGACAAGAAAAAAATCTGAACTTGTTCATTTTGTATTTTCAAAAGAGCTACTTCAAGATGGTAGAAGGAAGATACAACTCATCGAGAAAAACAGAACAGGTTCATATTGGTCACAGAAACCCACTGCTCCATATCTACAAACACTCATAGCCTTGCCAACACTGCTATGAATCCACTAGGACTAATCTTATTGTGCTCTTTATTGCTGTTTATTAGCAGTAACCAAAAGAACCCCAGACTTTCAGGTCACTCTTATTTCCAGCACTCTAATACCCATAAGGCTCTGTAAATCCCTTCTTTTGTCCTCTTTTCCCATTTCTCTCCAACTCCTCCAACCCTTCCACTATGCTCTCTGAATTTCAGTCTATTATCAGTAAAATCTCCTCTATGAGCAACCTCTTCCCTGAAAGTTCCCTCCACATTCTTTCTCTAATGGAAATCTAGGTTTTCCCAAGGGTACTGCTTCCAATGAAGCCCTCTCAAGTGTTGGCTGTTTTTCTATCTCCCTTCTACCTCTGGACCTGAAGAAGTAGTAGGCGTCGTTTCTGCTCTTTATTGCTGTTTTAAGATTAGCTTTCCTTCTTCCTCCTTAAAATCTCCAGCTTTGAATTTCCTGTCATCAGACTATATCACCCACTATCCCTCATTGTTGCGGTGACCTACCAGCTCTCAGGCCACTTCTTGATGACTTATTTACTGCTCACAGTTATTTTCTCCAAAAACTACTCCTGTCTTAAATTTTTGGCATTTTCATTATATAGATAGATGATCCTCCTACTATCCTAGTCTCTTATTTCCTTGAATTCCACTCTGCCAACTACCTTAGCTATTCACTAGCACAGTCACTGGACCCTGTCACTGTCATTACTAATGACTGCAACCCTTCCATACTCTCCCTCAAGGTTGGAACTAGGGTGAGCCAGGTGATGCAAGTGAGACTCCTAGGGTGCAAAATTTAAGGAGGCACTCAGTCTCAGCGTCATGCAAGGACCAATCCTGCACTTGCATGACCATGAGAGTGAGTGCTTCTTTAGGTATCTCACTCCCTCATCCTAGTCCTGCACCCTACTCTGTTTCATGTATTCTACTTTCTGACCCCCACCTCCTCCCTTTCTAACTCACTCCCTCTAGTACTCCAGCAATCGTTTAACTACACTAAGACCTCCAATCCATTGATGCTGCTAATTTTTCACTGTCCTTCATCCTCTTGATACCCTCCTCCATACCCAGTTTAAATTCCATGGGGATTATTAAGTATAAACACTCCCTTGTTTCCTGATTTTCCTGCCCCTCTTTTGCTTCGTTGTATTTATCTGGCAAAACCACAAGCCTAGTTAAATCCAACTTTCTACTGACTTTTGTGCCTGCATCCATGCAGCTGAAACTGGCTGAATAAAAACCCAGACAACTATATGCTTTATTTTAAAACTTCCTCAAATGGGCCTTAATGCTACTGGGCCAGCATACCACACTATCCTTGTTATTCACTTTCTTGCATTTCTGGATAATTAGTTTACACCTTATCCTCTCTTCTCAACCCCTCAACACCTCCTCTCCCATTTTCACTCTCAGGTGATGACCTTGTTTCCTACTTCACTGAGAAAACTGAAGCAGTCAGGAAGAGAACTTCCAGATTCCCACTACCACATCTACTCACACACCAGGAACCACACCACATACTCTGCCTTCTCAACTACTATCATAGATGAACTAACCATGTTCCTTCCTAAAGTCAATCCCTAAATCTATACACTTGTGTCCATCACCTCTTCCCTGCTTAAGGACATTGCTCTAACAATTCTCCTTTTTCTCTCTCACATTGTCAACTTTTTATTCTCTTATTGGGTCATTCCCATCAGCATATTAAACATTCTCATTCATCCCATCTCAAACAAACAAACAAACCTCCTGATCCTATTTCTCTCACCAACTACTACCCAATTTATTCTTTCCTTTGTAGCAAACCCCTTTAAAGAGTTGTCTATACCTATTGTATCCAATTCCTTTCTTTCAATTCTCTCTTGAGCCTACTCCAATCAGGCTTTTGCCCTACCACTCTACTAAAACTGCTCTTGTCAAGCTCACCAATGACCTCCATATTGTACATTCCAATGGCCAATTCTCAGTCCTCATTGTATTTGACCTATCAGCAACATTCAACATAGTTGATCACTGTTTCTTCCTTGAAACACATTTGGCTTCCAGGACACCACATTATCCTTGTTTTCTCCTACTTCACTGGTCACTCCCTTTCATTCTCCTTTGCTGGCTCCTCTTCTTTTCTCCAAACCATTAATGTTTGAGGGCTCTAGGCTCAGTTTCTGGTCCTCTTCTCTATTCCATATATACTCACTCCCTTGGTGATTGCACCCAGTCTCATAGGTTTATATGCCATCTATATATTAATGTCTCTTATTAAACTTTTCTCTCCAGCCCAGACCTCTTTCCCAAACTCCAGAGTCATATATCCCACTGACTACTCAGATCTCTATTTGTATAGTCTATTAGAAATCTCAAATGTATCATGTCCAAAACTGAACTCCTGATTTTCTCCCCAAACCTGCTCTATTTGCAGCCTTTCCTAGTTCAGTTGATGGCAACTCCATTTAATGACCCAGTCTCTTTCTCTCATACACTTCATCCAATCTATCAGCACATCCTGTTGGTTTTACATTCAAATAAATCTAGAATGCAACCATTTATCATTTACCTCCATTGTTATCTCCCTTATCTGAGCCACCATCATCTTTTCCCTAGATTACTGCAAAAACTTCCTAACAGGTCTCCTTTCTTCCACCGTGGCTCTTTTACGGTCTATTCTCAATACACCAGCCAGAGTATTTCTGTTAAAATGAAAGTCAAATCATGTCCTCATTTCATTCACAGTAAAAGTCAAAGTCCTTTCACTGGTCTATAAGGATATACATAATCCAGACTCCATTACCTCTCTGACTTCATCTCTAACCAGTCCCACACTTTATTCACTCTATGCTAGCCACATTGGCTTCCTTGCTCTTCCTGGTACCTACCTTAGGACCTTTGTACCAGCTGTTACCTCTGCCTGGAATACTCTTCCCCTTCACTCCCCCACTGTATATCTACAGGGCTCCCTGATCAATTTCAAGTCTTTGCACAAACGGCATCTTAATGAGACCTATCCTCACCACCCTGTTTAAAATAGTAACTCACACCAATCCCAGCCCATTCCCACTTCTCATCCTTTTTATCTTGCTCTATTATTTTCAATATCACCTATCAACTTCTAACACATTACAGTCACATATCACTTAATGACAGGGATACATTCTGAGAAATGCGTCGTTAGGCGATTTCATCCCTCTGCAAATATCATAGAGTGTACTTACACAAACCTAGATGGTACAGCCTATTACACCCCTAGGCTATATGGTACTAATCTTTTTTTTTTTTTTGTGAGGAAGATCAGCCCTGAGCTAACATCCAGGCCAATCCTCCTCTTTTTGTTGAGGAAGACTGGCCCTGAGCTAACATCCGTGCCCATCTTCCTCCACTTTATATTGGACACCGCCACAGCATGGCTTGACAAGCGGTGCGTCGGTGCGCACCCGGGATTCGAACCCGGGTCGCCAGCAGCTGAGCGCACATGCACTTAACCACTACGCCACGGGGCCAGCCCCCATATGGTACTAATCTTATGGGACCACTGTTACATATGTGGTCTGTCGTTTACCAAAATGTTGTTATGTGGTGCATGACTGTATACAATTTGCTTACTTATTATCCATATTGTTTATCATCTCCTCTCCTCCTGCTTGAAAGTAAGCTCCAAGAAGGCATATGATGGTTTGGTTTACTTATTTATTCCAAGAGCCTAGAACAGTGCCTGGCACACAATAGGTGCTCAATCAGTATTTGCTGAATGAGTGATATTCTCACTAGAACTTGAAATGCCTTTTGTAAAGCAATTGTAGTGAGTGAAAACTCGATTCTACACTTGTTCTTTTGTAGGTATATATTCAATTTCCTGGGTTTGGCTCATCCATCCTTCCTTCCAACTTCTAATTCAAACTACTTGAGGCTTTTTTTTCTGATTCTTTCTCTTCTATTAAAACCATTTTCCTTTTCAGAAATATAGTTCCACAATTCTTCCACTGGCTTTCTTCTGCTTTCCATATCAAATGTAAATTTACAAACTTCCCTTTAAACAGATATTTGCCTTTGGGTTCTCCACTACCAAATTTCTCTCATTTCCTCCTCCTTACCATCGTGTACAAACACATCCTGTATCTGCATCTGCCAAATATTTTTCTTCCTCCAGAAGTTCTATTACCCTACTCATTAACATAAAAATACATATCATTCAAACTGCATTTAGCAACTACTTTGGGCAACATATTAGGCCAGGTGCTAAAAATATGGTCCTCGAGAATCTCACAAGTCAATTTGGACAGACAAGCCATGCATTAGCAATATAAGGTAGTATAGATTATAAAGACCAAATTAACTAGCATCCACGTTAAAAATTACTGAAATCCAGAGTAAGAAGACAGCACTGAGGGGGCCAGCCCAGTGGCGTAGTGGTTGGGTTTGCATGCTCCACTTCAGTGGCCCAGGGTTCATGTGTTTGGATCCCTGGCGTGGACCTGCACACTGCTCATTGGGCCATGCTGTGGCAGCATCCCACATACAAAATGGAGGAAGACTGGCACAGATGTTAGCTCGGGGCCAATCTTCCTCAAGCAAAAAGAGGAGGACTGGCAACGGATGTTAGCTCAGGGCCAATCTTCCCCACAAAAAATACAAATGGAAGAAAGCACTGAGGACTAGAATTTATTTGGGAAGTCTCTACAGTGGAGGGAAACCTTAGGCTGGGCTTTGAAAATGGTAGCATTTAAATAAGTAAGAACATTTTTTAAAGGATGGGATGGTATAAACAAGACATGGAAAAAGGAACGTGATTGGGCTGTTTGAGATACACTGTATTTGGTTGGAGTGATGGAGGGCTTATGTCTCCACCATTCTAGATCTTGGGCCTAATGTAATGGTGGCTTATACTACTATGATGATGATACAGGGGAGTAATATGAGATAAAGTAGAAGAGATAGCTGTGACCAGATTGTATATATGTTAATAAGAAACAGAAAGACTATAACTTGTAGATCAAGCTTCATAGATTACAAATCACATTTTCAGCCATCTTCTCAGTTAATTTTCACAACAATCCTGGAGGTAGGTATTATCTTTATTTTGCAAATGATGAAATTAAGATTCAAAGAAGTTAAGCACTTAAGTGGCAGAGCCAGTAGGCAAACCCAGTCTATCACCCACTCCAAGAGCTCCACAGTTGCCACAATGCTTTCCCTAATCCTATATATTACTAAAACCAGTGAAACACATGGGTGCAGGTATTTATTACTTCTAAACTAAAGTTGTTTTGTGGTTACAAACTAAAAAGGTCTACAGAGATTTAAACTGTTTTTTTCAAATTGATGAGAAAGATAAGTTTGCAAATAACTATTTGTTTGCACGGTATAGCATTTTAAATCTGGAGTTTCTTTTAAAAATTAATGTTTTGTTATGCTTATTTTTTCTGTAGTTTTAAGCACAAATCTGTTACCTCATTTTGTTTCATTTACTTTACATAATAAAGAAATGAAGAGAAATAAAGCAATTCTGCAACCAAGCTTGGTGTGAAAATATGAGGCAACACAGAATAAAGGAAGGCCTCTCCTGTGCCCAACTGATGATAATTCTATTAACTGTCTCTCAAAATGTAAAAGAGGTGAAAAAAATCTCTGTAGATGGATACACAAGAATTACCTCTAGAGCAAACTGGGCAGCTAAACTGAGGAGCATGACAGTTGAACCTCTATCTGTAAGTAGGTTATTCTCTTCTGGCTCTTCAGCTGTTAATAAATTCTCTAAAGTAGTAATTGCCTGCAAAGCTGAAAAATAAGGAAACAATTCAAAAAATGAGATACTCTTATCAAAGATAATAGCTATCTATGGTTAATTATACTACAATGACTTTGGAACTCATTTTAAGAGCACTAATATCTTTAAAATCTTAGTTAATTTTCATAAGTTGCTCAACTGTCAGGGAGGACTTGAATGTCAGAAAAATGCCCAACTATGCAATTCACCTCTGTGAATTTATCCTATGAATATATTTGCAAAAGTGATAAAAAACATACAAATATGTTCATCCAGCAATTTTTGTAAGAGTAAAATATGGAACCAACCTAAATTCCGTCAATAATGGGTGGGCTACATACATCTTGGTACATCCATTAAATGGAATATAATACAGGATGAAGGAAAAATATGAATGATGGTATTATATTCCATTATATGTTTTAATGGTAGACTATGAGAAGTTAAATATATATGAGTAACAATCTTAAATGCATATACACCCAGTAACAAAATTTCAAAATACAAGAAGCAAAAACTGATAGAACTGCAGGAGAAATGAACAAATCCACAATTATAGTCAAAGATTTCAATATCCTCTCTCAATAATTGATAGAACAAGTACACAGAAAATCAGCAAAGATGTAGTACACTGAACACGATTAATCAACTTGACCTGATTGCCATTTATAGAACACTTGACCCAACACCAGCAAAAATATACATTCTTCTCAAGTGCACATGGAACATTTACCAAAATATTCTGGGCCATATAACAAGCTTCAACATATTTAAAAGGATTCAAAGCATACAAAGTTATGATCTTTGACTACAATTGAATTAAATTAAAAATTAATAAAAGAAAGTTCCCTGGAAATCCGAAAATATTTGGAAAATAAATAACACACTTCTAAATAATCCATGGGTTTAAAAAGGAATCAAAAGTCATATTGGAAAGTATTTTGAACTGAATTAAAATGAAAACACAACACATCAAGATTTGTGGATCGTCACTAGAGCAGTACTTAGAAGGTTAATTTATAGCATTAACTGTTTATATTAGACCAGAATAAAGGTCTTAAATCAATGACCTCAGCTTTCACCTTTGGAAACTGGAAAAAAAAGAGCAAATGAAACTCAAAGTAAGCAGAAGAATGGATATGATAAAGATCAAAACATAAATAAATGAAATAGAGGGGCCGGGCCAGTGGCGTGGTGGTTAAGTTCATGCACTCTGCTTTGGTGGCCCAGGGTTC